TAAATATATATATTTTATGATTATTTTGTATTTATGCATATTAAAAGAAAAAAACAATGGCCTTTTGTCTAACACCTGTTTTCAAATGAATATCAAATAATTATACGATATATTTATTATTATAAATATAAATGATATAATATTATATAAATTTAAGTTTTCATAGTAATTTATTACATTATTTTATACTTCCAAAGATTTTATTATAATATACGTTGTAATTCTAATTTTAGTAATTTAATCTTGCAACAATGTGACAATCATTATTTCTCTCTCTTTTTCTCACACTGATTTCTATTAACATGCTAATAAAATAAAAGTACAAATGTGTACGGAGATGTTCGATTAAAACTAATCAGATATTAGCATTATTTCTACATCGTTTCCGCGAGAAAAGCAAAATAATAGTAGGTGAAAGTTAGAATTGGGATCAACGACCTAAACGCGGTTCCATTGTATTTTTCTATTAGAGCTTGCTGTAATATAACTATATCGTTAGAAATGTTAAAAAAAAAAACAAAAATAAAAGAAAGAAAGAAAAAAAAAATACTTCTTGATTCATGACACTCAATTGTATTATCCTCTTGCATTTCTATTTATTCATTTCAAATAAAATGTTTAATTCTAATTCACAATTCGAACGATTAAAACAAATCCTGATTTTTTTCATGAAAGGATTACTGTATACACTAACTAAACATATTTATGTGTTGTATAATATTATATAAAAAATATTAAAAATTAATATATAACATATTCTTTAATTAAATTGCATGAAATATGTAAAAATTAATTAATTTGAAAATATATAAAATACATGCAATTGATGATACTTGAATGAATATTTTTAAAATTATATTTATTTATTTTTTTTATTTTTTTAATTAAATAGTATTGTGCAAAAATCATATTCGAAACAATTAATTTTTTTTTTTTTAATTAAATTTAACATTTTATTAAAAAATAAATTGTAAAGAATTTTTAACTTATAAATAAATAAAAGAAGATAACAAGATATGATCGACTTAAAAATTTTATTAAGTTAAATATTTATTTATTTTTACTTTTAACGGATTTCCTATTGAAAATATTTTACTTTATATACATCATAATATTATATTTATAACGATCGTTATATCAATGATTAATAATTGTAAGAGATCACTCCTTAAAAGGAAAGTTTCGTGGATAAACGGATATATGTGATACACGTGGTTGACCAATTGATTGGTGTCTGTTGAAAAATGCATCGGTTGGTGCAGGTTTCATTTGTAATTTCGAGGCTAATTTTTGTATAATCAATTTTTCATCGTTTTCTGTTTTCTTCGTATTTTTTGATTCTTTTTTCTTTGGTTTTCCTTGAGAAGCGTTTCTTTTACGATAGTATAATACTTCACCAGCTAATGTGATCATTGCCAAAGCGAGACCAAACAAAGTTGCTATGAAAACTCCACCTGGTTCAATTTTTTAATAAATATTATTAATAATTTTTATTATCACAAATAAAAAATTGATTTAATTAATTTGTAGTAAAATCGATATAATTTTTAATTCATATCGATTCTAAAAAATTGTTCTAATTATTTATTAATTTCATATTTAAATAATTAATTTAAATTATTTAATTAGATCCATTTTTCTTTTTCCTTTTTTTGAATTCGTTCAATTTTTATAAGAATAATTTTACTTTTTTATTAAAATTTTATTTCTTTCAAAAGATATAAATAATAAAAATACCTAAACTTTCCAAAGTTATGCCCTCGCTATCATCAGAATTAGGACACTGAGCTTTCAAAGATTGATTCCAGTATTTAGACGCCAAAGTTTCGAAATATCTGTCCTTTTGTAAATCAAGTATTCTAAAAATACCAGAACAAACATAAGTATAATACAGTATAAATTATGCACTCACAATATGTGTACGTAGAAACTTTAGACACCCTGTATAACAAATGATAAATAATTATATAATATACCTTCTACTTATTTCCTCTTGCAGATGACTACCCTGTTGAACTGCAATGGCGTAGGGTTGTTCAGCAAACACTTCACCTACTTCAGTTAAATTACAATTTCTTGTAACTTCATATTTGATTTGCGAGGAATCATGTATGAATGCAAATTCAGCGTTCTCACTGTCTATAACCTATAAAAATATATAATAAATAATCGTGAATAGTATTATTATTAATTACACAAAACTCAAATAATAATTACACGTTCTAAAACTTTCAAAAAAATGTTTGAATATAAACTAACATTATTATCAAATTTCAAAACTACAATTCTAACTTAAAAATATAACTTAAAATAAAAAATAAAATATAACTCAATTATATAAACTTAAAAAATATAATTAGCATTAAAATACACCAATGAACACATTTGACCAAACCAAAAACATTTCCTTAACCCTGTTATAATAATCGTTAGTGATTTATTTTAAGATACAAATAAATCAATTTACTTTTTTGAAACCTTCTTCCATAGTTTTAACTGGTCCAACTTGAGTAATAGCTTGTAATATATGTCCATATTGTTCTTTTATGGGATAATCCCAGACACGATATTCTACTTGATCACTGGTACTGTTCAAAGTGATTTCTTTCCAAGCGCTATAAAAAAAAAAAATATATATATACATATGAATGTGAGGAGAGATAATGAAAACAATAAAAAAAAGAAAAAAAAGAAATTTGTTTAGCTTTCTACTCACGTATAAAGTTTGTCCTCGGCATTCTTCATGTTTATAAAGTATTGATGAGCTCCTGAATTCATACGTACCGTGTAATTTATTCGTGATTGACGTGCCAATTGTTCCAGAGATTGAACTGGTGACTGATATCATACGAATGAATAATTATAAATAAACACTACATATTGTATATTGTTAATAATAATATACAAATATTACATTTTGTTTATTTTAATAAGATATAAAAATATTAAGTGTAATTATATAACGAATAATTATTTTATTATAATATTTTAAAATATTATAATAAATTAATTAATCATCCATATATAAATTAATTCATCTGTAGAATAAATTAATATATTATTATTATTTGAACAATATATCGTTAATATTATTTTTCATACCTGCATTCTTTCGACGGTAAGAAAAGCAGCCAAATTAGCAGTAAATGTAGCTAACATAAGCACAACAAACAACCAATAAGCAGCCACGAGTGTTCGACTTGACAATGCTTTTGGTGCTTCTCCACCACCTTGCGGTGTAAATGAAGTTAAAGCGAACCAAAAACTTTCTTTTAACGTAAACTCTCTAAAATATTAAATTTATATATATATATATATATATATATATATATTCAACAATTGTCTTAATATAATTTATAATTAAAAAACAATAATAATAATATGTTTTTTAAAGGAATTAATTTAACTGAAATATCAATAATATTTTCTAAATATTTATACTAATATTTCTTTTTGTTTTTAATTATTTATGAATGTATGTATATACAATACACTTATACCTGCAAGGATAAGGATAAAGTCTTTTATTATTTCTAGCACTATACGGTGAATATTTATCTAATATCCAAATCATAATCCCAGTAAGGGTCAAAGCACCGACAATACTTAACCAAACCTCAGGCCTTAATACTGTCATAAATTTAAACAGTGATGGCTTTCGAACAGGTTTCCTCATAACTAAAAGAAGAAATAAATCTTTAGTAAGTATTATATACTTGACAAAATTCAATAAGTATCATATTGTTAATCTATGAAAATATATCCCTTAAAATAAGCTTCTCATAAACCATTAGAATATTATAAAAAAAAAATAAATTAGGATTGTATTATTTCTTACCTATGAGAATACCGGATTGTTCGAAATAAGGTGCAACAAAATCAATAACTTCTTCTCTTTCCGAAGTCATCGTTAATGCACCAACCGCAATATCTGTTTCCTATAGAACAAATAATAAACGTTTATACATTCGAGTATAACTAGTTGATATTCTAAAGGGGCAAAATTTGATTTCTTATCTTGAAATATTAATTTATGTTGTCGAGTATAAATGGTTGACGTATTTTAGGGGTAAAATTTAGTATTCTCTATTTCATTGTTATATATTTTTGTTTAATTTATCAAAATATTAAATTGATATTAAAATTTCACTTACTCCTTTAGCTAAATCACCAACCAGTCCACTCCATTGACCATTTGGTAACTTTTCACCGAAAGAATGATCCATGGGAATTACCAATTCGTAATCAAATTGCATTTCTATCGATAGTTTCTCGATAAAATCGATACAATATCCTTCCCATATCTCGTTACCATCAGAGTCTCTCATTACTTGACTAGTATCTGGATCTATCTTTGGCATCGACCATGGTATTGACTAATACAAATTATTAGAAATCGATAATTAACACAAAATTACATATACAAAAATTAATTAATATGTATATATGTCACAATACATAAAAAGAAATACAATTTACTTGAAAATTCTGAGAAAAATATATTAATTAATTTTATTATATAAATTATATATTGTATAATTTTCTTTAACCCCCCCCCCCCACTTAAAAGAAACTTTTATTTACAAATTCTTTTTTAACTGTACACTTTTTCATATGTATATACAAAATTGATTGAAATTAAACTATAAACCTTACTTTAGTAGTTCCAATACGAAAGAATCTTTTGGCAGGATGAATATGGGTACCCGGAGCTTCAACGATCTTCCCTCTGGTCCATGTACCAAGTGGTTTTAATACTCCCCGTTCAAGAGTTTGCAAAGAAATTTCAGCTTTGTACGTGATCGTTGTTTTATCTTGCCAATATTCGAATGTATCGTTGTTGTTCAATCTCTAACGTGAAATATCAAAAAAATAACACACAATTTTAGATATATATTATTAAAAATTAAATTCAATTGAAACATATGATCTAATTAATTAATCTCACGAAACAAAAACAAAATCTAATCAAAATTAATAATATATAAATATTAATAATAATAATAATATATTAATTATATTAATTGATATTAATTATACTTATAATAAATATCAATGAAATGGATTAGCAATAAAATTTTATAAAATTCTTTAAAATCGAGGTAATCGATTTGATTGGTGAACGATTCGTATGTATTTATATGTATATGTATACATACATAGATTCTATTAGATTTGTAATAATCAATCAATATCGAGAATAGGTAAAGCGCTTACAGACATTAACAATTTATTGAATGCCTCAGAAGTTTCGTTCGAAGTCGATGGTTCTGGAGTTATAGTCAAATCCGAAGGACATTGACCTGATTTAGGTTCCACACTGATTCCAGACTTTTGTATCTCGTTCATGACGCTGACCATCAGACCGATCAAACGTTTGAAACAGATTGGAAATATCTGACAAAATAAACAAAAAATGCCAAAAAAGAAAGATAATAATTGGTTTGAATTATTTTTGTTATATAATGAAACAAATATCAAAAAAAAAATTAACTATTTATAATAATATATTGGAATATATAATTTGATTTGATTTTTTCTTTCTACGTAATTTCAAAAATGTTTAACATTTATCTATAATACAAAACACATATGTATTCTATTTCTTTTATCATTTGTTTTTTTATTCTTATGCATTAGAAACAATTTGTGTTTTAAGATCTAACCTGAAAATCGATTGGACAATTGCAATTAGCTTCGCCCAACAAATGACAACAAACATCAGGATTCATAGTCAAAATTGTGCAGGATACATTAAGCGAATCCATATTAATATATTTGAAATCTTTATAACGATTATCGGTGAAAATTAAATTCCAAATGTCGTCCCTTTTAACTAAACCACCTTCGATAGCCTAGAAAATAAAATTGAATTTATTAAACACAGATATTTCTGGGAGTACACATCCCAAAAAATTCATATTTTATGTATAATATGAGATTTTTTGTATGGTCTTATGTTAATAATTTTATAATATATTTCTATATAAAAACATTCGGAATAAATTTTTGTAATAATTTATTTGAAAGAATAACCTTTCTGCAAATGAATATTCGTATAGAAAAAATTGTGACCATTATTATATTGTATTAGTATCTTGTACGATCACGCAAATTTCATCAACGAATTTAAAAAAATATCACCTTTGATCTAATAGTAAATTAAAAGACTTACAGTTTTAAAAAATTCCTCCATCTTGTAGGTACCCGAATAAATTGCATAATAAGAAGGAGATGGTCTCATACTTCGTATTTTAGATACTGTTCTATCAGTAAACTCGTCAATAACAACCAGTCTGATTATTGAAATTCCAATGAGATAGTACAAACTTTGATTGAGTTCTAAAAGAAATTAATTAATTTAATATATATAATATCTCTCGTAAAAAAATATAATATTATATTAAACTAATTTATAAAAATCAATTATATAAATATTCTTCTTATTAAAACGATAAAAAAAGTATTATATTAGAAAAAAAAGAATTTCTAAAATTACTATGAAATGATCGAACATTTTGTTTTATTTCTTGTATGTATAAAAATTAAACAAAATAGTAGGATTCGTTCGATTAAAAATCGAGAGAGAAAAGAATGAATGATCTTGAAATAATGAAATAATATTTTGTACCTCTTTCATCTTCAAAAATCAAACCAACGTCGGTTGCATTTTTCATTAACAATAAATCATCGATGGCCTGAACGTAAGGATTTATGCTACAATCGCCACGTTTGTAAACGATACCTTTACTTTCAGCTATCACTCGTAATAAATCCCATCCGGACCAAGTCATGTCTAATATTAAACTTACACCCTTGTAAAGTGCAGCACAGACTGAAGAAAGATATTTGAAAAAAAAAAATAATAATGATGAAATATAAAAAAAAAAAAAAATAGAAATTAACAACGTTAAGTTCTCAAAAAATTTGTTACAATTACAAATAAGAATAAAGATAAGATATAGGAAACAACAATTAAGACAATTAAGAAAAGTTTCTTAAGAATTGGATATAATTAGAAAAAAAAAAGTATATTTTTGTTCACAAATATTTTCTACAAATATCGAATATTTTTAATACCTTTTTGAAAAGTCTCATTTAAATGTTCTCGATCTACTTCGACCTTAGACAAATGTACAGTTATAATATCGTTACCAAAATCCTTCTCAGCACTCGAAGCTGCATCGTTTAATACACTCAAAATCGAGCTATCTTCGTTTTCTATAACGACAACTGAAAAATATGATCGTTCGATTAGAAAAAAAAAAAAAGAAGAAGAATTTATCAATAGATTAATATCGAATCATAAATCGTATAATTTGATTCCACATTTTTTAAACTATCATACCCAAATTATATCCCATATTACCTGATATAACAATTTTATTAATATAAGTAATATCCTATATATACCCTGATATAACAATTTAAAAAAATATTCATTGTATGCGTATACACACAAAATTATATAAAACATTAATATTTACATAATTTAATATAATATTAATATAATAAATAAAATATTAAATTTTAATATTTATCTATACAAGAAACACCGCGAATTTTTCAAATAGCGCTTACACACACAAATATATTATATATATATATATTACTTACGCAAGCTCATCGGAGTTTGAGATTTGGTCGGTAATAAAAATAAAAATCCAAATAATAAAATATAATTGATCATTCTTCTAATCTCGAACAGCAACATATTGAACTTTTAATGCTACTAATACTTCTAATGTCGAAAGTACACTATATACAGAGTGCTGATTCTTCTTCGTAAGGGGAACATTCAAAATGGCTACGCCTGCGCCCACGAGTTTGACGACGATGTCATTTCATAAATATTAAATTAGTTATTTATCGAATCATTAACTTCTTCTTTATTGTTCCTTTACTTTTTCTTTTATTTTTTTTATTTTTTTTTTCTATAAATGCACTATATGCACGGGGAATAGAATTTCGTTAATACAAAAAGAAAAGCACGACTTGTTTTTCGTATATTTATATATAAAATCAGCCTAAAATCAACTTAAAAGACACGACACGCAAGCCAATATATCCTAACGTGACTAGTATTCCATCACTATACTTTCATACAAAACCTTATTCCTGTGTTAACCTACGATATCGATTTATGTCTCACGAGGATTACCAACCTGAATGTCCGATGATCGATCCTTTTTTTCTTTTTTTTTTTTTATCTATGTAGGTTTATATGTATACGCATATGTCTCGTTATATTTTATTTGTTTCCATTAGAAGATTTTATTTCTTTTTTTTTTTATATTTTTGTTTAATACGCCAAGAGTAATTTCCATTGTCGTTTGGAAAGAAAAAAAATAGGAAAAAAGAGAGAGAGAGAGAGAGATAACGTCTAACGTTAATTGTTTTTATATTTCAATAATATTTTTTATTTGAAAAATATTATTATATATTATCGAATTTATAATTTTATTTTTCTATTTTATATATTTTGTATTATTGTTCATTCTTTTTTTTTTTAGCGAAAAAGAAAGATTTGTTCTTTATCAAATGTCCATCAAAATGGCGGACAAATTATAGATTAGTAAATTACTGAGAAATGTGGAATGATAAGAAAATTAGACCAAAACTTTCTGTAAGAAGAATATAAAAAGTTTTAAAGAATAAAAATAATGTATATTTTATTTTTCTAAAAATATACTTTATTAAATTTTGTATCAAAATGATGCAATAAAGATTTCTATGATCTATACAAGAGATAAGTTAGCTACCGTAATTACTTTTTTTCTATGTACACGCGTGTTTGTTTAGTAACAATCGGATCGAAGAAATTGTTATGAAAAAATTCAAACACAGTCTGAATAATTAATAATCTTTATAGATATTAGAAATTACTCGTGACATTTGAAGAAACAATCGATTCGAATGTTATTGATTACTGAGCTTTCTACCCTGAAACCACCCTTTCACCCCTAACTCTGTTTCTAATATACAAACCTATTCAGTCAGACAACACATTTGTTTGAAATTAGAGTAATGCTTGTAAATCGCTCGTTGAAAACTCTAATTTTCTAATCGATATTGTATAACCGCAAAAGTAACACACAAATAAAAGTAGTTACGTTATCGTTAAAGATAATACAATAGTCGAATTATACAAATGTATTTGCACACACAAGCACGCTCATACACACATAATAAAATATATACTTTCGTTATTTTTTATTTAATGTGTTATACTCGTAAATTTTTTATAATACTATTACAATTTTATATACAATATATTTTTTTTTTTATTTATACGTATATATAATATCATTTTTATATTTTATATTAAATTTTAACAAAAAAAGTTACTAAATGATATTAAATATTAATTATTCTCTTTCAAAATTTTGTTATAAACAAAATACACAACTCTATCAAATATTTTTATACGAAGATAAATTCTATGGGGCAGAAATATTAAAAAAAAAAGAAAAGTATATGTATTTATTTATAAAGTATATTGAATTCTTTTTTAGATCAACATACAATTTGATTCTATATCTACCAGAAACAGGGATGAATCGATAACAAAAATCTATCGTTTTTATTCGTGATCACGTTATAGATTTGTGATCATGGGATAAGCTTGATTAATTTCCATGCTTGAAAAAATATTTGATCAATGATCGGAGATTTCCATCAATGCGATAATGATGTTAGAAACAGATTGAAATTATGCTACAGATGTTTCAATACCATGACTGTACTTATCATAAGTCGTTGGGGTTTCATTCTCTATAGAAGCAACATTTAAAAACCTTACAAACAACGAAATAACAAAATACAGGTCAATATATTCACTGAAACCAAAGCCAAACAAATAAATTTTTTTATTTACTTATATTTTTTTTATTTTTTTATTTAACCTTAAGTGCATTGATCTATCTTAATAATTTTTTTTAATTGGATGCATATGCAGTATACACAATGTTGTGTTGTTTTTATTTTATTTTAAAGAGTTGTAATAAAAATTTTTTTTTACTTTCAACAGATTACAAAAAAGGGTTTTGTATAGGGCCTTAAAAAATATAAATACGGCTTTGATCCAACCCCGTACAGCAGGTGAAACGAATTGCTTCGATGATTGCCCACAAATTCGTATCGTCTCTCTACATTTCTTTTTCTTTCTTTCCTTCTTTTATTTTTATTCCTTTTCCTTATAAATGAAAAAAAAAAAGAAAAACTTCTCTAAATCGATTAAATTATCCATTTATAATTTGTAATCTCGACAATTATTGTACAAATATTTCTATGTGAAATGATATAATATTCATCTATAAAAAAAAAAAAATTTATAAATAATATCTCAACATTTCTTTGAAACAGTTTTGTTGAGGGTTTCAAATTATAACGAGCGAATACTTAACGAAGTTTAGATGTTTTGTGTTTTGAATATTAATAAAAATAAAAAGTTATGTCTACCAATGAAAAAAGACGCTGAACTGTAAAGATTAAGTTTCTGAAGAAGTCCCAATAACTTAGTTGAATTAAGTTCTACTTCTTTTTTATGTCCAAGTTCCCTGTGATACCTTATCATTAAATATCACAACATTTTTCCGTCGATACATTCCTTTACGTTCTAATTCATATCCGGTATTAAATGCTTATCATAAAATTCTTGTAGATGTCACTACTAGTACATTTAAGATGCAAGATGGCGATACATTATACGCGTATGCCCAGATACAACAAAAAATTAAATCAAATCCTATATTCGCGAATCGATCTCACAACAATTAAATTCTTTCTCGTAATATTTTTCTTTTTTTTTTTATTAGAATAAAGAAAAAATAAATTCGTAAAAATTTTTGCACGATCAATTATTATGTCTACTAACATTTACTTCCTACATTTCACTCCCTGTCTATTTTATGAATGTAAAACTAACGAATATTAAACTTTGATCCATTCACAAACATTATTTTAAAAATGTTATTTCTCTTTTATAGCAAAATAATGTAATAACATTTCGTTGTTTCAACATCGATAAACTTTATTATCACAAATACGACACGAATGCGAAATAAAACAAAAAAAAAAAATACAAAAAATATGAGAAAGACTAATAATAAGAAATCATTTAATTCTCATTTATTTAAGAAGGGATGAAACGATCGTGTTCTCAATAACTTTTGTTAGTTTGTTCTGCTTACGCCAAACCTCCTCATTCCCTCCACCCTTTACACAAGTCTTCCCTCAAAGTTGCACCGAAACTTTGCAACAAAAAAACCCATCAAATATTCGAGTCATTCCGATGTGAGTGAAACGGGTTTTGTTTATAACGATTTCTGGCTTTTTGTCTTTTTTTTTCTTTTTTTTTTTTTTTTTCCGACCATTTTACTTAACCGAAAAACGGTCTGATGTGCGTGTATTTGTTCGTACTTTGTATATTTCTCTTGCGTAATTTGTTTCCAACGCAACGG